GTGAAAAATTTAAGGGGGTCTGAATACTTTCCGTACCCACTGTATATATATATATATATAATTTTTTTTATAAACAATTGGTCCAAGAGATATATATTATTAATTACATGTATCAATTGAATTATTATGTAAATACATATTTAATAATAATAATAATATAGTATAATATAATTATTAAAATAATACAACAATTTATAATAAAAATTGGCCATAAAAAGCTAAGATATGTGAACTAAAATCCACAATACTGATTTAATAGGGACTTTAAGTGAGCGTCCTATTGTACAAATTATGCTGTTTTACCAGGTTCAGTCATTCATTATTCTATATAAAATGATAGATTTACTCTATTTTGCTCAGTGAAACATCATACAACCAATAAACAGACCCAAACTCACCTGTTGCCCAAAGTCATGGACGTCCGGCTGCCTGCGCCCCACGTCCCAGTACTCCTGGCTTCGTCCCGCTCTCCCAGATCCGGTTTGCTGGGGACGCTCATGTGAAGCGGCAGCGACTCCATGCTGCGGTGCAGGCCGGACATCCTGGGGTAGAGGATGGGGGAGCTGCTGACCGACAGCGTCTGGCCTGAGAAACAGCTGGGAGAGTCGATGTGAAGCACCGGCGCGGGGCTCGGGGTGAGTCGAGGGGGAACGCGGGAGCCCGCCAGGTCCTGCAGCTTGGAGTAGGGAGGGATCTTTGGAGGAAGGTCATGGATGGTGATACAGGAGTCCAGACTGTTGGAGTTGAGCTTGTCTAGATGAGCCAGGCTGGGAGGATGTACTAGAGACTTACTGCTCAACAACCTGTTAGAGTCAAAAACCACAACATCATCTTCAGTAACGTCATGAACTCAAAGACCTTCTGTAGACAAGTACTGAAGGGATTTCAGAGCATCCAAAGAAGAACACGCTGCCAACCATAAAATCAACCTCAAAGGCTCTTGACGTTTCCAGAAAGGGTTTTAAATAATTGAGTAGCATAACTTGCATAATAAAAACACAGAGGGCATCTGCAGAATATTTCCTGCAAAAATGTTGCCTATGCCTATTTTATATAAAAAAAAACAAACATTTTATTTAATATATTTCCCCCCATTTTATTTCTAAAGTGCCGCAAAGCTACGTAAGTCACTTAAATTTCCCAGTTGTCCCTAATTATTTGAAAATATAATGGATTGTTATGATTTTTAAATTGCCAGAGACCAGAAGCATTAGGTGTAAAAAATATTTTTTAAATATATTTAACTATTTAACAAATCATGACAATCATTGCATGATATTTTCAAATGAAATAATTTTATATAAAAAAAAAAAAAGAGTCACGTAGAACACTGTATAGAACACAGAGCATCAAAAATATAGATTTTAAAAATATAAAAATATACTTTTATACCAGTTGATTCATTAAAAATTTAAATAAATAAATAAATAGCATGTAATTTAATAGCCAATAGCCATTAATTTAGAACAAACAAAATCATCACAAAACAAAAATGGGCAAATTAAAATTATTAATTTAATTAATTGCATAGAATTAATTTACTCTGTGTGTATATATATATATATAATATTTATATTTATAAATATAAATAAAATATAATATAATAAATATAAATAAATAATAAATATATAAATAATAAAATGGAAATATAAATAAAATGTATATACACACACACACAAACATTTAATTACATTTTAATTAAAAGACATTTTCATACATTTAAATTACATTTAATATCTATTTTAAGTAATTTATTTTTAAAAATACAGAATTTTATTTTACTTAATTTTATTTACTAAAATCATGAAATGATTGCAGTGAATTTGATTTGATCTATGTATTTGTGCAGAGGGTGGTACCTTGGCGTGCTGGTCGGAGAAATCAGTTCTGGGTATTTACACGTGCTCGTCCTCCGCACTCGGTGGATCTTCTCCACAGTCTCCGAACAGCTGAATATAATTATTAAAATAATACAACAATTTATAATAAAAATTGGCCATAAAAAGCTAAGATATGTGAACTAAAATCCACAATACTGATTTAATAGGGACTTTAAGTGAGCGTCCTATTGTACAAATTATGCTGTTTTACCAGGTTCAGTCATTCATTATTCTATATAAAATGATAGATTTACTCTATTTTGCTCAGTGAAACATCATACAACCAATAAACAGACCCAAACTCACCTGTTGCCCAAAGTCATGGACGTCCGGCTGCCTGCGCCCCACGTCCCAGTACTCCTGGCTTCGTCCCGCTCTCCCAGATCCGGTTTGCTGGGGACGCTCATGTGAAGCGGCAGCGACTCCATGCTGCGGTGCAGGCCGGACATCCTGGGGTAGAGGATGGGGGAGCTGCTGACCGACAGCGTCTGGCCTGAGAAACAGCTGGGAGAGTCGATGTGAAGCACCGGCGCGGGGCTCGGGGTGAGTCGAGGGGGAACGCGGGAGCCCGCCAGGTCCTGCAGCTTGGAGTAGGGAGGGATCTTTGGAGGAAGGTCATGGATGGTGATACAGGAGTCCAGACTGTTGGAGTTGAGCTTGTCTAGATGAGCCAGGCTGGGAGGATGTACTAGAGACTTACTGCTCAACAACCTGTTAGAGTCAAAAACCACAACATCATCTTCAGTAACGTCATGAACTCAAAGACCTTCTGTAGACAAGTACTGAAGGGATTTCAGAGCATCCAAAGAAGAACACGCTGCCAACCATAAAATCAACCTCAAAGGCTCTTGACGTTTCCAGAAAGGGTTTTAAATAATTGAGTAGCATAACTTGCATAATAAAAACACAGAGGGCATCTGCAGAATATTTCCTGCAAAAATGTTGCCTATGCCTATTTTATATAAAAAAAAACAAACATTTTATTTAATATATTTCCCCCCATTTTATTTCTAAAGTGCCGCAAAGCTACGTAAGTCACTTAAATTTCCCAGTTGTCCCTAATTATTTGAAAATATAATGGATTGTTATGATTTTTAAATTGCCAGAGACCAGAAGCATTAGGTGTAAAAAATATTTTTTAAATATATTTAACTATTTAACAAATCATGACAATCATTGCATGATATTTTCAAATGAAATAATTTTATATAAAAAAAAAAAAAGAGTCACGTAGAACACTGTATAGAACACAGAGCATCAAAAATATAGATTTTAAAAATATAAAAATATACTTTTATACCAGTTGATTCATTAAAAATTTAAATAAATAAATAAATAGCATGTAATTTAATAGCCAATAGCCATTAATTTAGAACAAACAAAATCATCACAAAACAAAAATGGGCAAATTAAAATTATTAATTTAATTAATTGCATAGAATTAATTTACTCTGTGTGTATATATATATATATAATATTTATATTTATAAATATAAATAAAATATAATATAATAAATATAAATAAATAATAAATATATAAATAATAAAATGGAAATATAAATAAAATGTATATACACACACACAAACATTTAATTACATTTTAATTAAAAGACATTTTCATACATTTAAATTACATTTAATATCTATTTTAAGTAATTTATTTTTAAAAATACAGAATTTTATTTTACTTAATTTTATTTACTAAAATCATGAAATGATTGCAGTGAATTTGATTTGATCTATGTATTTGTGCAGAGGGTGGTACCTTGGCGTGCTGGTCGGAGAAATCAGTTCTGGGTATTTACACGTGCTCGTCCTCCGCACTCGGTGGATCTTCTCCACAGTCTCTGCACAGCTGTCGCTCTGGTTCTCAGCCTTCAGACAGCTGATCTCCAGGTCGGCTTTGGCCTTGGCCCTCTCCTTCTCCTTCTCTCGGTCCGTTTGGTTGACGGGTCCGGTGGTGCTCGGGCGACTAGCCGCTTTCAAGCCGCCTCCATCTCTTCCTCTGGTGGGCATGGTGTTGGACAGAGGCGGTACGGGTTTGAGGGTGAGGAGACTGACGTCGATGCTGCCGCTAACAGGGCGAGAGGAAGGGCGTCCGGTCAAGCTCATAGCGCTGGATTTGGCAGGCCGCGGCAGACTGCGATATTGAATGCTCCCGCGAGCGTTGGGCGCCAGGAAACCCTGTTCGGAGCCGCTGGCGTCCAGGCTGTTTTTGCGTCCACCTCCGCCTGGGACGGGTTTGATGGGGATGCCCGAGGACTTGGGGGTCTTGCCCACAGTGGCCGAGCCGCTGGTGATAGTGGCGCCTCCTGCTGTCAGGACGGTGGCGGTTCCGGTGGTCGGAGGTTTCTTGTAACCGAAGGAGGCTCCGGCGGAGGGTTTGACCAGACCTGAGGGAGGCTTGCGGTGCTCGTTGTCCCGGCCCGCATCGGAGCGGGAACGCTGGAGACTCGTTGCCTTGACGGACATTTTCACCTTGTCAACTGCCTTAGTGTCTCCTTTAGAAACTATAAAGAATAGAGACAATAGTCATTAAGTACCACTCGTTTGTGCATGCGCATTAAACCCAAGAGCACCAACGATTATAGATGCAGAGTGAAATATTAGTTCTAGATTTACACAACACTACTACACTGGCTTCAGAAATACTGAATACTTTTAGGTAGCTTCATTTTTTTGTCATTTCAGAAAAATATTTTCATTGTATTGTTCGGAAAAATCCACTCCTTTAAATTTTTAAACTTTTTATATAATTTAGACTTCTCTACTTCATCCATAAAGGTCAACTGAAACTATACAATCTTTTCCATTTTTTGCAAACCAATATCTCTATCAAATTTCTTCTAAATTAAAAATGTTGTATTGTTTTATTTGTCGTTAAAATGTTATTTTAATATTATTTATAATCTATTTGGGTATTTACTAAAGTTTTGAATTAGCATTTATTGATCTATTTTTGGTTTACTTTTAGTTTTTAAATTTGAGTAATTTGCTATACTTTTTAAAGATTTATATTACTATTTAGCTTTAATTTGTTTTTATTTCCAGTTTTGTTTTAGTAAATTTAGTTATTCTCCCCAGTTAGTTGCCAGGGCAACATTTGTAATTTTCATTCAAGTCTCAAATGTTTTAATATTTAATATATAATATTTGATTTTATTTCAGCTTTATTTCAGTATTTAGTTTGACTTGATATACTAAAATAACTAAAACTGAAATAACTACGAAAATGACAAAAAGCACAAATTTTGCTAAAGATTTTTACTGAAATTCAAATGAAAAGGCTATAAAAATAAAAACTGATTAAAAATATTAATAACAACAATAACAGTGTGCCAAACTAAACTAACACTGACTTCAGTTAACCAAAAAAGTAATAGTTTCAGCTTTAGTTATCATTAACAACACTATTTATCTTTTAAAACAATGTTTAAAAACCATACAGTTTTAAACAAGCCAAATCCAAATGAAAGCAAAACCCAGAAACCTTTGGATGTTCGTACTCCATTGATTATTATGAAATATGAAAAGCAACCTGTGAGCAAAAAATCTTCCTCTAGGATGAAAATACCAAATGTTTTTAGACATATCCCATTGCATTTATTTTAGTACCTTTAAATATCATGGAGAGGACCCGATTGAAGCCATGATTAAGGTTCTGTGGCCTAAATCTACAGTGTGTGAGTCATCGCTGATGAAGACGAGGGCAAGCAGGCATCTGTATTTAATTACAGACACTTCAAAGATAAAGAGCGTCTCGGCCTACACAAGATCTAAACACCAGCACACACGTGACCCGAGCAGTGCGTCAACACAACACACATCTGCATACTACAATCAAAAATAGCAAGCAAGAATTTGTCAGCTAATGAGGTTTAATGACGTTTGGAGGACTAATTACTGATAGATGAGTTTCTATGAAGCTTTAATCACTGAACGAACACTAATGACAGAAGAAAGTGCCTACGGATAAACTATCATCAAGCGGAGAGCGTTATCTGAGTGTGGCATGCTGGGAAATCCCTGAAAAACACGCCTGCTTATTATCTATGATTTATTTTTGCATATAATTTCAATTTTTCCACTTGAAAATGCCATTATGAGATCACTCAAGCACACTTTTCATGCAAAATATTTTTAAAAACACATTTGTTAGATATACTGTTTATAACGAAAACGTTATGGTTTCCAGACTTTAGTCGAGTAGCTACATACTACTACATAGTACATACAGTAGTATATACTTACTCTTATGATTTCTGCAGTATATACAGTAGTGTGTATAGCTAGTGTGTGCTCAGTATGCATTTTTTTTTACATACATAATGCTTTTCCTAGGTTCACCAAGGCTGCATTTATTTGATAAAAAAATACAGTAAAAACAGTAATATTGTGAAATATTTTTACAATTTAAAATAACTAGGATCTATTTCAATATATTGTTAATTGTAATTTATTCCTGTGATCAAAGCTGGATATTCAGCATCATTACTCCAGTCTTCAGTGTCACATGATCCTTCAGAAATCATTCTAATACGCTGATTTGCTGCTCAAGAAACATTATTGTATTATTATATTATCAATAATGAAAACACTTGTGCTGCAGAATATTTTGTGGAAACTGTGATACATTTTATTTTCCCGGATTCTTTGATGAATAGAAAGTTCAAAAGAACAGAATCAATTTGAAATAGAAATAGAATCTTTTGTAACACTAATAAATAAATAAATGTCTTTAGCGTCGCTTTTGGTCAATTTAATGCATCCTTGCTAAATAAAAGTATTAATTTCTTTATATATAGGGAGTAATTTTACTTCAAAGTGGCCACACAACCCAAAAACAATAGAAACCAACTAGGCTAGGCTTTATATTTCTTAAATTGGTGATTATGTTTTTGCCATTTGTGAGGTACTTTAATAACAGGACGTCAATATGACAAAGTAAAATGCCATACGGTGCTGCTGGTTTTCTTCTAAGTACACTGGATCGCTGACATTTAAATGTAATTGTAAACTATGGATCCAGCATAGAAAGGTTAGGCTGCCTACAGGTAAACTGCATCAGTGGAAGATGGTGAAAAGATAAACCTGACAGCCTTCTCTCTCAAGAAATCTGCTGAGGCACTTGAGGAAAGTCAAAAACATCATGAAGAAGAGTAAATGGAATAATTCACCCTGATTTATGCATCCTCATGTAATACTAAACCAGCATGACTTAATGAGGTTTGAAAGATGCAGCAAAAAGGAGGATTTCCCCCTCCTTTTTTGTGGCTAATGACTTAAATCTCACAGAAATCTATCATATGACTTCAGAAGACTGAGTTACATGGACTACCTTTATGGCCCTTTTAAGGTTTGTTATTGTCTATTCTTGTAGCCCTGGTCACTGTATGCACTCATTCATTGCATAGAAAAGCTGAACGTGGATTGATATGAGGATGAGTAAATGATGATAGAACTTTGAACTAACGAAGTTAAGTCGATAGTTTTCATGTGGTTCTTTATAAGTTTCCACCAGAGTCATCGTTTTGATATCTGCTGAAGAGACACTTCACCAAACTCTGTATAGCACATGGTCTTCATTTATAGCAGGCTATGGATGACAGCAGTAACATAAACAACCGTAGAAGTTTGTCCAACTGATTCATTTCCAACTCATGATGTAGTACCATTAATATATAATCCTTCTGGAGCTGCATGCTGGATGACAAAGTGAAGATGCATGTTTGGAGAACAAAAAGTTTTTGTTTTGCTGCCAAGAACGGGTCCCCCTAATGAATTTATGTCCAAAATATGTTTCAATCCAAATATACAGTCTGTTTATGTCAAAGCTAAAACCTAAATATTAGCACACATACCCCCATAAAATAAACAAACAAATAAATAAATAAATAATAAAATAAAATGACATATAACATAAAAAACAATATAAAACAATTAAATTGCAAATAAAATAAAACATAAATAACAAGATAAAAAAAAAAAATATATATATATATAAAATAAAATACCAAAATAAAAAAATAATACAAAATAAATGTTTAAATAAAAAAAAAAAAAAAAAATCATTACCTGCAACTTTTAGCACACTTTGTGAAGTGTGTGTGATGGGAGAGGTGACGCCCACAGGAGGATTGCGGCCCTTTTTGAAGCTCCCAGGTTGTCCTAGACTCTGAGGTTTCTTCAGTTCTCCTTTCCCTGTCTTGTCCGGCGCAGAACCATCCGGCAGCCGAGTTTTCCTCCACTTGCTGGAAGGCTCTGATTTTAGGCTGCCTGTGTCATAAACTCCATCAGCTGTCCGTAAGGACTTGCTGTCCTCGCTGTACCACGCCAGTCCACTCTCCACCAGAGAGCGCTTCTCTGCATCCGTCCGCAACTAAACACACACACACACACAGGGTACAGTGTCTGTTAGAAGAGCAGATTTAATATGGGAGATCATACTATACAACATTTTAATGTTCGAAACTTTAGGGTCTGAGATTATCTTTAAAGAAATTAAAACTTTTATTCAGCGAGAATGCATTAAATTGATTGAAAGTGACAGTGAAGACGTTTATAATGTTATGAAAGATTTACATTTCAAATAAATGCTGTTCTTTTGACATTTCTATTAATCAAATAACCCTGAAAAATAAAATGTATCACTGCTTCCACAAAAAGATATGAAGCAGCACGACTGTTTTCAACACTGATAATGATCAGAAATGTTTCTTGAGCAGCAACTCAGCATATTAGACTGATTTCTGAAGGTGCACAATGAAGACGTAATGAGAGTAATGATGCTAAATGAGGAGTAATGAAGCTGAAAATTCAGCTTTGCATCACAGGAATAAATTACATTTGAAAACTTATTCAAATACAAAACAGTTATTTTAAATTATAATAATATTTCACTGTTTTTATTGTATTTTTGATCAAATAAATGCAGCCGTGGTGAGCAGAAGAGACTCAGAAACATTAAAAAGTGAACTGACTTTTGCAGTACCCCGGTGAGCAGAAGAGACGTCTTTCAAAAACATTTATAAAATCTTGACCCTAAAATTAATAAAAAATTATCAAATAATAAAATGATAAAATATATGCATTTCATACTTTGAAATATACATGAATTATATATAATTAGTCTATTAGTCTATATATATATATATATATATATATATATATATACACACACACACACACACGTGTATATATATATACATA